TTGAGATTGAATACTGTTCGTTATTTCGGATTTCCATATCCTTCTTGAAGGCATTTTTTTCAGTTCTCTATGATTCTTTAAAATATTATCACAGAGAAGAAAATCCACTGGCTGACTCTCTAAGCTTTTTTTAAAAGCTAAACTTGTGTGTAACCTTACAATACGAAAAAATCGCTGGCGTAAAACCCCCAGAATAATCGCTCAACCAAAAAAAAAAAAAAAAAACCAAAACAAAACAAAAAAAAAACACAATTTATTACCCCACTTTACAAGAAAGAATGCTGTTTACGGAGAAAATGTGGGATTATTACGTGATACAGAGTCAGTCCGATAGCATGGACTAAGACAGAAATACATTGTATATTTAGAGACAGTGCAGTGGCAGATCCAGAGGGGGGGGGGGGGGTTACGGGGGTTGCAACCCCCCCCCCCTTTGGATTTGCAATTTAAGAGAAAGAGAAATAAGAAAGTTCCAATTTTTTCGTTGTGTTTTTACTATAGGAAATGTAAGGTGAAAGGCTAATGTTGTATTATATAAAGAAATTCGGTTGTAAAAACAAAATAAAAACCCTCCCTTTACAAAATAGGATTTTCAGGTTCGGAGATTTATTTCCTTTCTTTTTCAAAAACTTTCTGGTAATGTATACAAGTACTTTTTCCCAGATTGATCAACGTCCCACTTTCAAAAACCATACTCCACCCTGTATCGATATTCTATTGAGTTATTTAACTATATGTATGTGTACAACGTACGTTTTAACTGTTTTCGCCTTCAACCCCCGCTTTTGAAAAATACTTCAACCCCCCCCCCCCCCACCCCCTTTGAAAAATTTCTGGATCTGCGCCTGCAGTGTGAATCGACATTTAAAGTTAAAACAAAATAAATGCATCTAATACCAGAGGGGGTACAACGTAAACAGACTAGAGTGGCATATCTTTCTCTTATAATGTATAGTGGGTATTTGGGGGGATGTTGAGCGATTATTCTGGGGATTTTACATTTTTTTTGTTATTGTATACATGATGAATAAGTTAAATAAATATATCTTATGAAAAAAAAATTCCAATAAGCCCTTGGGTTGAATATAAAGAAAGTGTGCGGGGGGGGGGTCCCACCCACAAGTACCTGTAGTTTTCCTAACAGAAGAAATTCATAAAAATGACGCTTAATAGACAATTCAGAAATGTATATACTCCTGATATATGAAATCTATTTAATATTTAAGAATCTATAATATAAATTAAAACATTTTTTGCTGATCAAAATTCCATTAATTATTTATATTTTCTTCTAGTATATATAACACTTTTTCTTGCATTGTAATTTAATCAAATGACACATTTGATATAATTATATTGAACTATTTCTTGGTAGTAAAAACATAATAAAGGGAAGTAATCAAATGTTGAACCCGCTTTTGATTGGTTCGTTTGGATCTTGAATCTCGAAACTCGAATTTTGAATCTCGAATTTCGAATTTTGAATCTCGAATTTCGAATCTCGTATTTGGAAACTCGAATCTCGAATGAGCCTTCTGGGCTTTCGTATGAATCCCAGATAGCAGAACATCCTTGGTCCAATCTTACATTAAATGGTTGTATTATCGTTGTTGGGTTATATCTTTATTGGGCCAACGATGGTCCAACATGGAATATTGATAGTTGGTTATGTATAAAGGGACCCATGTTGGACGAACTGTTGGCGTTATATCATAAAACTTTTATCATGAGAGAAAATATTTGCTGGGGGATTGGCATCGGCCCAACGTTGGCCCAATACGATGAATCTGGCTGAGCATCTTGGGTAGACAACATCCGGTCTACTTGTAATATCCGCGCCATTTTTAATCGGACACGAGCATAATGAGACTGATACCTTGTATATCTGCATCCATTTTGTAAGTATTTATAATATGTTTTGTCTTCGGTTACATTGGGCAAATATTGGCAAATGACATTGACCCAATTTAAGTTTGTTCGTTGGCCCGATGTTGGCCCGAAATGTTGGGCCAATGTTGGCCCAGTGTAGAGTGTTATTTCTACAGATTTTGTCCCAACGTTGCGCCATTGTCCCAACGTCAACAAGATCATTGGGCTGATGTTGGCAAATGACCCTGGCCCAGTGTCGTCCTGCTCATTGGCCCAAAGTTGGCCCGATATATTGGACCAACATTGGGCCAAACATTTAATTGGTACAAATCTGTATATAAACAAAGCCGATAGTCTCTACAATCAGAAATAAATCTACCATAAATCCTACTTGAAAATACAAGTTAGCTAAAATAAATTTACAAAGCTTGTTAAAATTCTTTTTCAAAACAAAATAAATTATCAGTGATTGTTTATATACAAGAAAAATAAATGAAAGTATAAAATAACAAATGTTTTTTAAAACATTTAAACAATAAATTAACAATAAATAATTTCCCCTTTATTTGGATTTAAATTTGTGTTCAGTGGAATAAATTTCCGAAGTCTACCACTCATTTTACTTATATTCACTTAACATCGAGCACATGATCAAACATATTTAAGTTAAAACAAAATTTATTCAATACTAAAACATAAATTGGTTCTTTCATTTAAAATTTGTTCAGTGTACCGATAAATTTTCTATGCATGTATTTTACTTTTAATAATGATTCATATGCGGCAACATTGAATCAAAATCGGTGTGATGATGATGATCAAGCGTAGAAATTTTATGCATAAATGCCTTCATCATGCAGACTGATTACTTATCACACCATGAAACAAAAACGACGGTTATTCCTTAATTGACAGCTTAAACATATAGTCGATATACTTGTAAATTTAAATCGTATGTTTTCTCTTTACTGAGAAAAGTAACAAATGTATTAAGTACCAAGTACTACAATTTTAGTGCTACTGGAGATTCTAAAAAGACAATTAAAGAATGGCTAAGGTATGCCGAGGACAGGCCTAGGGATGGGAGAGGAAGAAACGGACAGAGAAGAAAAGAAGGGGAGGAGGAGACTCGGGAGAGAGAAGAGGAGACATGGGAGAGGGATCAGATGAAAAGTGACAGTGCCTAACTTTCTGTTATATACTGTGACATACCTGTAGTTCTACCCTTTTCTGTGCCCGTTTGTCGGTAACAAATACGATGCAGATGCCAGAAACATTTTTTTGTGTAAGTAAACAAAATGGAGGAATTCATTTTAGTATTATTTTAAGAACAGGTGGGCTTTGTTTATTTCTTTTAGACATTCTTATTGAAACCTGCAATTTACTGAACCTGTGCATAAATTAACATCAGAGAGGGATTATACAGTTGTGTTACCCAACATGTATTAATGTTTTCTTCATGCACTGAGCAATAAAATACTACTATGTTATAATTTAATTTTATATTTTGATTTCTTTTTCCTCAGTTTTTTTAATTAATGTAGAGTTACTTACAATGCAATACTTGTTGAAGGTGATTCTCTGAGATATTGTGAATATGTATTAAACTAATAATCTAGCATATATAGTATTAAAAGGCTTTTACCATTAAACTGTACAACAAAACTAGTATAACCTTATCATGTATAGTTTGTTATTCAATTTTGAGGACAAATGGCCAACCAGTGAAGAGCAAATGAGTTGTCCTGATGGAGAGCCAATAAGAAACAAACCAACGCTGGCCCAAAAATGATGATTGAATCAGTGGCCCAACAATGGCTCAGTAATACGTTTATTGGTCCAACAATAAGCCAACAAGTTGGTCTGATTAAGGGCCGATTAGCAAATTACTACTGGCCCAACATTAATTGCTAACAATGGCCCAACTATACAAAAATGACGTTTGTCCAATATTGAAAGAATACACTGGCCCAACAGTGGCCCAATATTAACTGTTACATTGGCCCAACAATAAGCCAACAAGTTGGTTTGATTAAGGGCCGATGAGCAAATTACCGTTGGCCCAACATAAATAGCTTACAATGGCCCAACTGTATAAAAATGACGTTTGCCCAATATTGAAAGAATACACTGGCCGAACAGTGGCCCAATATTATCTGTTACATTGGCCCAACAATAAGCCAACAAGTTGGTTTGATTAAGGGCCGAATTACCGATGGCCCAATGTTGAAAGAATACGGTGGCCCAACATAAGGAGCATTGTTGGCCCAACAAAGGTCCAATAACATCCTGCTATCTGGGATGTTCATATTTGCGATGGAAGAACCTTGTCCCTTCTCTGTACATGTATTTAAAAGATTTTTGAGATCATCTACTGATTGTTATCTTGCATATTTTATTGTCAATACAATGTCATTTTTAGCAAAGACAATATGTGACAATACTTGACTGGCGTTTTTCATACTCATTATAAGGCCATAAACCGAATTCTCTATGGATTTTTCCTTTTGTTTGATCATGACAGTGAGCTAGCGACTGATCCGTCGACAGGGCATGTTTATTCCTCCATGGCATCTGATCCTACTTCTGATGTTTTTTGAAGCATGTGTTGCTCCGTTCTCGATTCGACTGTTTCAATAAACTTTTTGGCTTGATTACTTTTCACTTTCCAACATTGTAAGTTTTGCCACACTTATCGACTACGGCATACTGTCACTTCATACCCAATGAAATGATTTATCATGAAATAAATAAGTATTATGATTTTGAAAAGGAACGTTTTCTTGGCTGTTTAATACAGAACAATTTACGAAATACTATTTCATTTTTTAAAGTAAATATATATGTATATGTCATGTTTCCGTAGCATCTGTTAATTTCACTTCTCTTTGCGAAATGTTCATCCTTAATAGATAAGGTTATAGTTTCACAATAGTATTATTAAATAAACGTACAACAGTTTATAAATATAAAGTATATTTATCTCTGTAAAGAGGAACAATCTTTACTAAGCAAATTAAAGTAATAAATGTTTTTATTTTTAGAATCCGGAAACTATAATCGTATTCAGGTGATAAATATATACTTCCTGCTCTACGAAATAGACCGATAACCCTTTTTGTAGCAAAAAAATATGCATCATAATTCATCGTCAACTTTGCTCCACCTACACGTAGCTTTAGATTAAATAAATACAACGGGACTTCATAGCCGTATTAATTAAAAGTTACCTGGTTAAGAGAGGTGTTTTCTCCGCACGCTCTCTGATTCTCACTGGATAATGTGGCTATATTATGACAGAAATGAGGAGATCGCTAATTATATATTTTGTGGGATATTTTACATTTTCTTGTGCTCACTATCCATTTATTCCAAGGCATCCAAGACCGTTTATTCGAAGAATTTATCCTAATCCCCCTTTATATGGGGGAATGTTTTTTCGTGGTCCTGTGTTTAATATTCATCCTAGATTTAATCTACCCATAGGGTTACCTCAGGTGCCACATATGAATAATATGCTTCATCCTCATCATAAAATAAACAGCAATTGTGCAAGTGAAAAACATTCTGTTGGTCATGCACCAGTACCAATACCAACAACGGTTTCATCTTCGTCCTATGATGGTAAAAACATACAACACCTACCAGTACAACCATTAGGTTTTGATAGACCTTTTCCAACAATGGGATCGCAACAGTTTAATTTTGGTCAAAATGATGCTGGAGCACCATCAGATCTCCAGGAAAGTAATCCCTCTGTGGCATTGGGGGAGACTCATGATAAATCCCATATGATAGGATTACATCCTATCCTAGAATCAAAAACTAGGAGCATTTTTGGTGCACAACCTACTCTTAGGGTTGAGAATACAGACAATTCAAATAATACATCCAGCGATCATAGAAATCCAGACTGGAATTACTTTGACTTCATAACTAACAAAGATTTCATATTGAAACTTATTGAAAACAAGCTTATCAAGCTTCAAAACAAAGAGAAAATAGTTGGTGGAATATCAGTTAACACCCAACTGTATGACCAGATCAAAAGGATAGAGGAAGCGATGGGTATAACCATGGCTTTAGATAATGGAACCACCACTCCACCTCCAGTACCAACCAATTCAACAGGTAACTGAGGGCTTACCTTTATACCTATCATTCTATGCTTATAAATGCAATACGTGTATACCGAAATTTACCAGTATTTAAAGAACATTTCTGGGAACACTTCATAAAATTTCAAAATTATTAGGCCATAATTCACACACTGAATTGTCGACGGGTTTGTCCGCTATTTCCCGATCATGAGAAGGAACACACGGCGGGTGTGATGGGTCGGCAGGAATTGCTCGCTCCTTCATGGCATCTCTTCTTATTCTTTAGGGGTTCGTGTTTTCTCTGCTCTTGATTTGTACTGTTTAACAGACTTTTGAGCTTGAATAATATTCGTTATCTCTATGTATTCTATGCTATTACTTTAATACTTTAAGAAGCATTTTACCAAATTTAAAAAGAACTATATGCGGTATATTGCATATGTTTGCCCCCACAAAAGTCAAATTTTGAAAACTTCCTGAAATGTGCTGAATTCAATAAATTGTACGAGAAATATAAGTTAACAGAAAATATTATAGTTCCAGAGCATATTCACAATTTCTGTTTTTATGACGTCACAAATGATTTTATATCCTTTTTATGGACAAAATTTCAACAATTTAAGCTTTAAAATTTATAAGCGCATGTGTGTTCAGGAACAATATTGACATATTTCATTGATATTATCATTCTACACATTATATCAAAATATTTATATGACTTTTATTTAAAATATCGACGAAATATGTACATTTTTCTGCAAAATTCATAAAAAACTGAAATTTACGTCATATTTGTGACGTCATTACGTACATATGACGTCATTATTGAAATTATTCAAAATTTTCCCCTGTTTAAGGACTTAATTAAATATTACTCCATCAAAGTTTGATTTTGGGGGGCAAATGTTGGTTAATACCGCATATAGTTCTTTGGGCGCTGAACACTTATTTGATGTATGGATTAAACGGTATTTGATATATGAAATAACGGACACGTTTCCTTTACCTTGTCATATTGTTCATCAATTTTCCGTAATTTAATGATAATACTCTATATCGTCTTTATATAGAATTTGTTCTATAAAAAAAAAAAGAACCTCAATACACTGACAGTTTGAAGGAAGCATGTATGTAGCTTTTAAGACAATTGAAAGCGTTAATTGTAAAGGAAGATGCATTTTACCTCATTAACACATGGTTTATTTTCGAGGTAAACCTAATTAAAGTACACACGAAGGTGATTAGTGCAGTTTAATATTCATTCATTTGGACCGTTGCTTGAATACATTACACCTTTCGTGACAAACTCAAAAATTGCGTCCACAAAACATTACACCTTACGTGACAAACTCAGAAAAATGCATCCACAATACATTACACCTTTCGTGAAAAAGTCAAAAATTGCGCCTCCAATACATTACACCTTTCGTGGCAAACTCAAAAAATGCGTCCCAAAATATATAATAACAACTTTCGTGACAAAATAAAAAAATGCGTCCAAAAATTATATTACACTTTTCGTGACAAACTCACAAATGCATCAACATATTTATATTTCAGATTATTCATTAAATGATTGTAAGGCAAAACTAAAAATAAATAAATAAATAAATGCCTATTAACAAGACTTCTTTCTCTGCAATAAAAAAACTGTCGGTCGTATTAAAATGATTTTTTGCTGAAAAATCTCTTTCATCTAACAGTTGGTTCTATATAATTTAATTAACGTTAAATGTGACAAGGTATTCCATGTTAACATAAGATTAATCATGTTATCTGTCTGATTATATATTTATTGAGGCTTCAAGTTCTATGCAGTGCCAGGATTCCCTGTCATAATTCCAGTTTCTTTGTTTTTACATTGTTTACACTGAATTTGAAATGAATTTATGATTGTTAATGCTGGTACGCTTGGGTTATCCGAACAAATCTGAATTATATTAATTCAAGTTCAAAACGAATCAGAATTTCCTAATACAAATCTGGCATGTGTACCTTATCTGCAGAATTAAATGAGAACGGTCATATATTTTCAAGTTATACCAAAGTAATTCAGATTTAAGAAACCACAAGTACAGAGGAAACAACGATATAGAGTACAGTATAATATAAATTTAGTCAACATAGGTACAGGGAGTGGCAATAGCTATAAAGATGGAAACAAAAGTGTATTGGTCTCGTCGTTACAAGTATTAGTACTCATCTTTTTTTTTATCCAAATGAATATGAGATTTGTCAATTCCCTAAATAAACAAAGACAAGCAAAAGTCATCTTTAAAAACTCGCCATCGAATGTCTAAGAGTCTATTATGAAATATATGGAGATAACAAACAGTATTCAGGCTCAAAAGTCCATTCAAAGAATGCAAATCAGGAGCAGAGCAAACACGGACCTCTTAAACATCAGATAAGGAATCAGGTGCCATGGAGGAGTGAGTATCCCCTGTCAACAGGACACACCCGCCGTGTGCTCCCTGCCACGATCGGAAAAGAATGGAAATCCGACAACAATTCATGCTTATAAGGTCTTTCCTGTGAATCAGAAAGCCTAAAACACTTATCATTATAAATGGCTTTGGCAAATGAAGCATTTATGACAATTTTAAAAGTCATAAGCCAAAATACAATATATATTATCATACGATTTAAGACTTATCGTGACCCTTTATGCATTTTTCATATAATGTTTTATTTTCATTTTTAGGAAGCAGCAGAGAAGGACAGTATACTTCGTTATCAACTTTTATGGGAAATTTCTTCTGTGCATGGTGTAGATATCGTCACGGAAGTCAAAAAAGCACGTGTCTCAAGTTTTGTTTCAATGATATAATTCAAAAGAACAACAAAGCGCAGGAGGAGGACTCTAATACTCGATAAGAACAGGAAAACCCCCCAAGTGATCAGTTTCAATAGCAACACGATATCTTGATCTCTATAATTTTCTTCTTGAGAAAAATCCATGTTTAAGTTCTGAAGAAGAATTTCGTTATTAGAAATGCTGTTCTGTGTTAGAGTTGTTCTTATTATATCATTTTGTGACTGTAGTTTAATTGTTCATTTTGCTAAATTATTAATGAAAACTTTTCGTCACAATAAATTGTATATTTATTATGTGGTCATTTTCTCTTTAATCATGTTAATGTTACTTCAAATTGCATTTGCGTTCTTTACAATGTCATTCGTTAGCTATTTCTTTAATAAATTATTTTTAAAAAAGTGTTTACTTATTACAATTAAACATATCAATAATTTTAAAAATATTTCTAAACATAATTAATTGCTCCTTAATCATAGAGATTAATATTAATTGAATATTAATGGTTCTTGCTTTAAAATGAATTCAGTAGAACGGAGCTTTGAAATAATTTGTATTTGTTAAAACTAGATTTCTTAAATTTTTTTTGGGTGAGACAGAAAATTTAAACATCAAATTATAATCTCTGTCTGTAAAACATAATTTTATTATAAAATTTCTTTCATAAAAGGAAAAATATTTCTATTGAAAGGTTCTTTTTTCAACTGATAAAAAAAAAAGTTGCCAATTTCTTGTGAATTTTGAATTAACAACAACGATACTAAATTTTTAATTTAAACCATGCGTGTGATAAATTGCAAACTGTCCTGTTCAGTACTTGTTCTTACAATTAAGTTTTATTTTAATAATGATAACTATAACTAGCTCTTAATGGAAGGAATCAATTTAATAAATATCTTGTCATAAATGTGACTTTAGGGTTTTGTTTTGTCATCTAAGTGACAAAATTTTGAAATTGAATTTTTTCACTGAGTGCAATTTATAAGATAATTACATTTATTTCTGCAATGCAAATAACCCTCATTATCTTTGAAATGATAATGTCTCTAAGCGATACATTATTTTCTGCCCTGTCTGGCCATAACCTAAAACTTAAAACAGTGAAATACTTACTTCAATAAACAATGAACTTTGTAATTAAAATACACAAGACTTGTCAGCTGCAAGGTATATGTTTGTACAAAGTTAACCCAAGTATAAAACATCTATCTAATTAGAAGTAATTTATTCTACTGTAATGTACATGTTCATTATCCGTAAGATAATTGTGTCTTAAGGTGTGCTTCTCCGCATGCACAGATCTGAAAACTGCTTTCAAGAGAAGTAATGTAGTTGTTTAATTAATATTTGTATACTTAATTCATGAGACATATACTTTAAATCAATACCACATGTCCTACCTGATGATGAATGGCAAATATTTGACCACTATTAATATTTTAACTGTGTTACGTAAAACTTGAATTTATCCACTTCATTTGTTTGTTGTCTAAATATGCCAATCCTCTCTTTTTTTGATGAATATAAACTATTACATTGTAATCCGTATCTATTTACAGAACTAAATCCAAAAATGATGAAAAGCTGACTTAAGCAGTGTTTTAGTTAAGTATTTTTATAAATCATATACACATAACAGATATCAACGTTTTATAGAATTTCTCAAGGACTTTTGTGTAGCAGCTTATTTTAGAAAGGGTTTTTGTCAATTGCTTTCTCATAAACTTCAAGGAAATTTTCGAACTTTTAAAATCATTGAAAGAGAAGTCACATCCAACTTTTCTTATTTATATAGATATATTCTAATATCACCTCCATGCGGTGTCTATTTCTCCTAATTCTCCAAATACGATTCATTTTTAAAATGGCGTAGTAAACAGTCAAGTTGCTGTTACAGGATTTTCAATAATTAAATCAATAACTCATATATTCTATGGTCGTTAAAATGGCCCATCAAGCAAGTGTAGCCTATCATTAGATCGTGTTTTGGTCAACAAATTCCAAACATTTTGTTAGATTTATGAGAAATTAAAAATTATTTAAGTTTACCCGATTATAGGGCTCACACAGAGCGAGACTTGTCGATTATGCCTCCAAAGGACTTGATCTCACCATGGGTTCGTGTTTTATGCCTTGTGCATAGATTTGTACTGTTTGAAATCTATTGCTTAGAACGCTTGTTATCTTGACCACTGTTCATTTTCTCGAACATGGTCTAATTCTTTTAAAACTGTAAATAACCTACAGGTAGAAATAGAGAAATAATTAGAAAGAATTTTTAATAGTTTTTTTAAGGATTTTTTTTCTTTGTATATTTGTTATGTAACATATATGTAAGTGATAAACTGGACCAATTTCCAGACACCTAAATAACATTAGAACTTTTTAAAATGAGTTTTTTTTTCTCAGTTTTTTGCAAATGCAAAGACCAGTTGATAAAGTAATGTACTTGACCTGTTATACTATCTTTGCAAAATAATATCATTATGTGAAATGTTGTTCAGTGAAGATTCACTAAAATGTTAATAAAAAAATAGCAAAAAAGTATTTTTCTTCACGAATAAAGTCTTTCGAAACGAATACATGTACATATATTTAAATTTATTTCAGAATTATTTTGCTTTACCCTTAAATCTCAGTTTTGACGGAAATCAAGTTTTTTTAATAGCAAAACTTTATACAACGTGAAATAATTTTTTGTATCTTGAAATTGAAAAATATTATATCAGATTCTACATCTAGTTCGCATCAATGAGGACTGCGTCTTATTTAATACTTGTTCATGAAATTTAGAGTTTGAACACGTTAGACATCGTCCAGACGTATCACTGGTAGGTTGAAATCTAGTTCAGAAAAAAAACTAATTTTACGAGTTATGCCTTATGATTCTTTATTTTCTTGTCCATCGATTTGATAGACAATTATTTAGTCTAAGTTAAAGGAATTTTAATACTTCCTATAAAATGGGTTTAAATTTGTTTTAATTTTTAATTTTTGTGCATTTCAAAATATAAGACAAGTTGTGTCAAACTTTCTGAAAAAGAACAGTCATTTTCCTATAAATACATGACCTTTTGACTCTTTTCTTTACCTCATGACTCAGTCTTAATTCATCAAAATCTAAATGCATTCAACGTGAATTAATCATACGAATAAGGTTTATAGTGGTTAATAATATTTGTTTCTTTTTAGAATGGAGACTCAGCATGTTATATGTTTACTAACTGCAACTCTAGGCGTGTTAAAATCTAAGTGCAACTCACACACAATTTTCCATGTATCACGGTTTTGTTTCTATTTTTATGACATCATGGTTTCTTTGGTGATATGAAATTGATGTAAAATATCACTGTTCCAGGGAATATGATTGTATTTTAAGAGTAGAAATAAAAATCTGAATATCAAAAGCGTTTTATCAATTAACTTTACTCATTAACTCGATAATTTCCACTGAACTAAAAAGAAAAGACACCACAGTATTATGTTCATAAAAACACAACTCAACAAATGTATATGACAAACGGGATAACTCAACAAATTTCCGCCAAATTCTACTATTTATTTTGAAATATATTTTAGATTTACAAAACTAACAAATAAATCATAAAATTTTTAAAGCCAGTGGTATAAAAATATGATATTAGAATGTAAGTTAATAGTTACTTTGATAACACATTAGACATTAGCTTTCTGAATAAACTATGGAATTTTCATATTTTGTGATTGGTTACCGACGAAATTACATTCTTTTGTTAAAAATACTCTGATTCTATACTGTATGTATGTACGAGTTCCTCATAAACAACATCTAATTATGTATTCTATAGAAAACTAACGACAGAACTGTATAACAAACGAAATGTATATAGATATAAAGCTTTTGTCTCATCAACATACCTTGTTTACATTGTCAGCTTAAATGGTTACTACCTCTCTTAGCTTATTCAACACTCAAGACCATGATCAATCTTTCATAGTTACATAAGGTTCAAGGTATAAGTATGTGTGACCGGTCGATAGGGAAGGATTACTTCTCGTAGGCACCGGTTCCAAACTCTGGACATTTCTTGAAGGTTATTTGAGATAGATTACTGTGAACTTCGATATCTTTGCCCATCTCGTTGATATTACATGGCTTTTAATTGTCTTGTTTAAAATCAGCATTTCATTTCGAGGATATAAGGTCTTTAGACCTTGATTGCAAAGCAAACTAAGCATAAATGCAATGTTTTCACACGAATGCTCCATTTTTATGTTTAGTACGGAGGGCTCCTGGTATGACTGTTCATCAAGGGAAAGCTTGATTATCTATTGTACATACCAGCCCATAATGTTTCAATGTGTATTTTGTCCTTCTCACAATTATTGAATTTGTTAAAAGGAGCTTAGAAATGAACCATTGTCCGTTCGTCATATTCATTTTTGAGTACCATTTGCGTTTCATTACGTAATTAACTATATAAAGTGAAAGTGATTTCCGTCAACCATATGTGAAATCCTTGATGCTTTTTTATCAAGTGTAAAAATTGTTATCAGATGTTCCTTTCCAAACTTAAAATGACTGTATAACATTATTCCCTCTGTATAGAAGCACATAAGTGAAATTATACAATATATAAAGCACAATAATGTAAGCAACAATATACTTCGACAATATACAAAAAAAAATTAAACAACAATAATACAAATAAAGGCCTTAGAGCAGTCTGAATTTGTTTCCAGACAATCTTTAGTAGCCATTATAGTTGTCAGATCTGGAACCAGACACCGAGAGTACTACCAGAAGAATGTAACAACCGATCCCGAGGAACACAGAAAGCAGTGTTAATCCCAGAGCCCATCTGGCACTGCTGCGTCCACCCTCTATGTCTTCATTGTCAAATCGGTCTCTCGCCTGAATTAAAGTTATATCATTTTTTCAAATAAGTGATAAGTAATGTAGAAAGTGTATTATTACACATTTATGAAAACGCCAAATATAACAAACAATGATCCAACTAAAATTTCTTTACAACCGTACAAATAAGTAAAGAGGTCTCGTATTGATATCAAGGTCATTTTGGCAATTCAATTGAAAACGTATATACTTACAATGCATGCAGCAATAATGGCGGGAATCCCAGTCAAAGGGGAACAGAAGAAACACGCCAAAATAGCCGGAACAAGATAATCACTGTGGAAACGGCGTCTGATGAAAAGGACCGAGGGGCACGAATTGTTCGTCACCTGAAACAAAACGTTTATGCAGTTTTTCAAACAAAGTAAAGATAGAACTGTTGTTGTATTACCGACAATCAACAAGCAAAGCCCCTCACTTTCAGGGTCTTTTAAATGAAAATCAAATTTGAAAGTCAAGAAATGAGGTTCACAATCATTAAAATTTTTGGATATTTTACGTGACAGGTAATACAAAATATAAATAACATATCTTCATTCAATCCAATTTAGAACGTTTTCATCACCTAGGTAACGGACATTTAAATATGAAAGATATAAATTCTCTCAAGAAGAAGAAATGACCTAGGTTATAATTAAAGTGCTTTTTGATGAAGACAATTTAGACTGACAAACGGAGAATGAGACACATATGCCCAGGTGTGTTTGAGTAAGCTCTTGAAAATGAAATGATCTGAAGAATTTCGAAAATTCAGTCGTCCTACGATGGCCAGTTGAATAATTTAATTTCTACCACGTACCACGACGTTTGTTGTTGTGTGGTGTTGAGGCTGCTGTACAACAGGAGGCGGTGGACCATAACCAGGATGACCTGTCGGATAGCCTTGACCCGTGGGATAGCCTTGACCCGCCGGGTAGCCTTGACTTCCGGGGTAGCCATGAGGATTCGGTGTGTATGCTGGGGGTGGGGGTTGGTTATATCCAGCGGAATAAGCTGCAGCAATAAATACATGTAGTTAGCTTTGAGAAATTAAAGTCCATGAAAATTTTTCCAACATGGCAAAAAGATTGATTTAACATGCCGATATCACTAGTGACAGGAACTCTCAAATAATATTGTTGTATTTTGGATATTTATATACTCGACTTCGGGATTTTGCCTACCAATTTGGTTATAACAAGCGTTACAGCTACAAAAGTTCCAGTGAATCTTATGTACAAGTACTGTAGGTTTATATGAACGTTAAGGTACTCCGATACTTAGTTTCTGAGAATCAGGCATTGACTAATTGAAAATGCTCACAAAAATGTCTCTGAATTCCTAAAGTAGCGTGTATTTACCCACTATAATTCTCCAAACTTCATCTTTAAAGTTAATCATGTTATATAGAAAACATTAGTAAATCTCAAATTAAGTTTCAGGAAACGCATTTTCCAATTCAAATATATTCAAAAAATATATTAAAGAAATAAAAGTGATAAGGTATCCAGGCTTTTGAAAAATATGGACATTTTTTTTTAAAAAATATATTAGGTACTTTAATTTCTAATACCTGGTATTTACTTCGATCAATTTACAATACACAGAGAATAAAGATTTTCCTATAATTGCAAAACACCATTAATCACTTCCAATTTCATGTTAATTTATATTAATATCTATAGAGAGTACTGTTAGATTCAAATGGACCTCAATTTCTTTAAATATGTAATGTGAAAATATTTTTATTGGGTAAAATATTTCGACTTTTTATATGACCTTACTCATGTTAATAATTAAGTAGACCTTCTCTTAACAATGAATCTTCGCCCAGTTTATAAACCAAATGCAGCAAAACAGCGTCATATATCAGTAGATCCATGCCTTAACAAGTATATCAGATTGCAAGATCATCAGGTAGATATATGTGTATTTGCATTTAAGCCCTCAGCATTGCATGTACCAACAAGATGTGATTTACGAACCAACTGAACTGTAACGTTGTTCATCTATTCATGTAGTTCATTGTACAATTTTCCAGAGATATCAAGACAAAGGAAAGTAATCCAATTATAATGTCTTTCTCAGAGCAACCAAAGAGTAAAGACAAAAGAAAACTAATTCTGCAAATGTGTGCAAACGGTTTTATCTGACCCTTTACAATTTACATTTTCTCTCTTTATAGGTATGGAGAAACAAGCCTATGTATATGATTGAATGATTTTTCATATGTATCTTGAAATTAATTCCTGTTGATAACTGATGATTTCTATTTGTATTTTGGAGTCAAAGAACCTTTTTACAGGAATCATATGCAAGTAGATGGCTGTTCGAATTTTTCTGGATTGTGAATAATAATAATTGAGAAATTGATTACAATGGGTCACACTTCATCGAATTAAGTAATGACTTTAAACACCAAATAGAGATTTTTGCTAGAAATGTCAATTCTTGTGGTGTTAATATTGCTTTATACTACATGTATTATACTTTGTTTGATAATAACGTATGTATTAAGCAGGGAATGCCCCATGGGAATAATATGACATCTTGCCAAATACTTAACAAATACAAGTACATGTATTCTGAAACCATCAAAAACAAAATTTACACATATTTCATTGCAACGGATATTTAAATGCAATCCCAAAAGAAGAATTAATAATCATTTTTAAAATTGGACAAATGAACAATGAAAGTTTTATAAAATAGTAAAGCAGATATTGTTTTTAAAATATGATCAATATCCAGCAGAATTAGCTGTTTAAAAGCAGAATAAAATTTTTGGTGAAACTTTAGAACAAAAAAAAAAAGATTTCATTTTACAAGATAAAAAACCCAAAATAGCAAAAAGACTTCATCTAAATGAGCCAGTATCACCAGTGAAAGGGATTCTCGTTTAATATTGTTGTATTTTGGATATCTGTGTACCTTGTTCCATGAACGTTTCATAAACATTTTTTATGTAGATCCGTAATATTAAGGTAGGCTACTGGACTACCATTTGGACATGGAAATCTTACACGGGTTTAATAACATAGGCATAATTCGTTGATAAATTTTTGAATAACACACGATTTGGTGGGCCTTGATTTTGTGGATATTGTCCTCCATTCTGGTTATAACCAGCGTTAACAGCTACAAAATTTACAACGATAGAACCTTACATTTATGTTCATTAATAAATTACCAGACTTTCTTTAAATTCAATGCAAGAACACATCATGTAAAACTTAAAAAAAAACTAAATATATCAGCTTCAATTTTCATGTAATGAGCATACCGGGTACATAAATATCTATGTGTATTAAAGCTCTCAATAAATTTCATGGACATTGATTTTTCTATTACATCTAAGTCATGCATTGAAATTTTAATTTTCAGAGTAAAAATGAAATCAAGAATGAAGGCGCGCAATAAAAATACTTCCTTATAAAATTATATAACATTTTGATAATGAAGAAACTTTCCAAAAGCTCATATGATTATTCATAATTTCTGAATTTGAGCGCAAGAAGCATCCGGAGTAAGAAATTATAAATAATTAAATGATTCACACATCATCATCATCATCATAAGATCAAGCGAATAATAATGTTTCGAAGACCTAGAATAAAATGCTTTTACCTAAATTCTTTTCAGAGGAATTCCCACAAAACTTAGACAATTAATATCTGCATATTTTATAACGTATCTTTATTTTCCGCAAAGTATATACGCATACTGTATACTAGAAGTTTTGATGTTCATTCATTGAGAAGAAAGCCTTATTCTACATATTTCTGTGGAAGCACAAATGAATATAGACTTAGCCAAATAAATACGCTTGTATTTTACAAGTATAAAACACAATGCGCCAACATTAACATGAAAAATAAGCTTTGATTTCGAATTATTTGTTTTCTTTTTTTGAAGAAAAAACCCATCAAATTAAGCACATTTCAGAATACCCCTTCTTGGTGGACAATTTAACATAAAAGTACGTACGGTTTTGAGGATTCTGTCCTACTTTTTGGTCAAAACCTGCACTGTATGCTACAAGGACATTTTATACATATATTATTATAATAATATAATGGTTTTTATTGAAAATATTAAGTAAATACTAGTATTGAAAACAAATCATGGCCTAGTATTTCAATTTAAATAAGATAATGTACATTAAGTGTATGCAATCTATGTGTATTTGTAATAATTTGAAATATCTTTTGTTGATTAAAAAAGCAAGCTGAAAAGAAGGGTATAGTGAATAAGAGATTGAAATCGGTTGATAATAATAAAAACAACTGAGTGCTTAAAAAATGGTATTGTTCATAGTAATTGAAATCGTTTGATAGTAAAAACAACTGCGTGTTGAAAATCATTCGTGATTGAAATCATGCTTTAACACTAGAGTACCTACGGTTCGTCATTCCTTGGTTTGGAGGGTTCTGTCCCACGTTTTGGTCATAGCCAGCATTGTATGCTACAAAGAAATATGCACTTGTGTATTTACATCTAATTCAAACTTAGTGCAGTGCTTCTATCAACAAGGTGTGTTTGTGAAAGAACTGAACTGTAACGTTGCTCAAGTGTTCACGTGGTACATTTACCAGGTTTATCAACAGAGAGGAAAACTTTTCAATTACAACGTTTTTCGCCCAGGAAGCAAATAAAAGTGAAGATAAAAGCAAACTTTTTAAGTAAAAAATATTTTAATATTACCTTTTTTATGTTTTGTTCAATTCTTTTTTTTTAAAGTAGATATGGAGAATTAAGCCCATAGTTTAACGATATTGCGTATTATATTATACATGTACCTGTCAGCTGCCTGTATGTGTATTGGATTTTTTTTTTAGCCATGTAATGTTTTTTTGACTGTTAAGAACTTTTACAGTAATCAGTTAGACCTTTTGAATTGTGAATAATAGTGAGATAAAGAGTCTGTACCATGCGTCACGCTTCATTGACTTTAGCAATGGCGTAAACAACCACCAGAGTTTTGCTACAAATGTCAATTCTTTCCGTGTTTCTACCGCTTTAACAGTTATAATTACCTTATAACAACACACTTTAAATTTCTATCTTACCATTTTCGCCCGATGTTTGTCCGTAAGAAGCCATATTCTCTCTATGAAATAATGGAATTTCCTTCTATTGAATGGCAGGGAGTGTATTTTTAAATACGTAACAATAAAAGACAGATCACTGAAGCGTGCAAACAGGATCGATGTAGACTGCAAATGTCCCATAGGGGATTAACGGCATCTCTTGCCAAATGAGGTCTTTTGACACCATCTGATTAATTTTTTTTAAATTTTAATATATTTCACTGCAAAGGATATTTAAATACACCTCAAAATGAAGAATTAAGTAGGAAGGCGGATAGAATGTGAAACGCGCTTGCGCTCAACTAGGAGGTTGGTTGATATGAAACTTTTCATAACGCTGTAGTGGATTTGTGTTAAAAATCAAAGTCAGAATTCCGCCTCTCTCTGGAGTTGTGTTCGTTCCCTGGTAGATTCCAACAATCTGTAGAATTTAAACTTGTTTACATTTACATTGATTTTACCTCTCTTATAAAGAAAGAGTTTCAATAAGGGTCTTTTCGGCCTCTAAATAAACATAATCAAATTATATTTCTTAAAATAGTACTAGTTGTAATGTTAAAAAAAGGGGGGGGGGGGGTAGTGCCACTATCATACCGGTATATTGAGAATGAAATAAGTTGGCAGATTTGCACTTGTTTCTTTTTTAAAAAAAAGAAACAAAAATCATTCACGACCCCTCCCTCATTTCTATTTTTTTTTTACAATAAAGCATATAGTATGAAAGACAAATTGCTCTGTTCCTTGTAATTTTTACTTCTTGAAAACAATTATAAATCATCTTTGACGAATATTGTCATTTATTAATGACGATGCTACTTTTTTCGGTCTCGTAATAATTGATTTTTATGTATAACCCCCCCTCCTCTGTTTTTCTTTTAATTTTTGCAAACCGTATTAACATTTTCTAAATCAAATGAAGATTAAAATATTATTAACTGCAAATATATTTAAATAAAGACAATTTTAATTAATTATACAAATTATGTCAAACAAAATATTGATTAATTTTACTAAAAAGTAAAAAAAAATCTTTATGTTCCTTTGTTATTGTTACAAGACCGAAGCCAAGTCAACTGAGCTAGTTTTTGATGGATTCAAAGAAAATAACAGCAGTATTGAAATTGAAAAAGTCATTTATTTAAGTGAACGACACAAAACAAAAATACACAAAGTAAGGGGGTAAGAAGAGACTAGAAAAAAAACTTCTTAAGAAGACAAAAATGTTGGGCATCATATAATGCAAACTGGACCGGTCACATCCGCCGTGTGCTCCTTGTCATGATCGGGAAATAGCGGAAAAATTCAAAGTACATGTATATATAATGGACTAACAATTAGCATGAAAAACGTCAGTCAGCATTTGACTCAATGATAAATTGAATTTGCTGACAAGGTCATTGTATCGACCATAGAACTTACGAAATGATGACTCTAAACGAGACTGCTGATTCTCTTGTTTTATAAACTTGTTTGTCAGTAATTTACCTCTTTTTAGAAATTGTTCATATGTAGAGCATGTTCTTGTGTATCGAATCAACAGAGAGATTTAAACTCCGTATGCAGGTGATGAAGGTATATTGCTGCCTAAGCAAGGGAAGTTGACGATAGAAAAGTTAAAGTCATAACATTTATCATAGAGCTTGGTTGTTAGATTACCATCAACGTTTTTTTCGATTAAAATATCCAAGTATGAAATAGATGTGTCAGACTCTTATAAATTGTTTGTAAATAAGTTAGTTTGATCTTTTTTAAAATATCATTAGTTTTTAATCAAAATAAATTTTTGAAACTTCAAAACATTTTTGGAGATTCACTTTTTAAATTAGATCATACATTTAAAGTTGTTTTATGGAAGATGGTGGTTTTTCTGCTGGACGGTGAAAAACACAGCCAGTGAGACACCAAACATGATAACACCACAAAAAATTGACGCATATGTACAACTTCTAGCACAAGAGGCAGACTGCTCCGCGCCATACAAATCATTCATTTCTTCCCTGTGGTTTGCCTAAAGTTAAAAAATTACTGATTAACTCATCAATATTGATATATTTTGTTTATTAAATAGCGGTATATGAATATGTTTTATAAAATTTGAGTGATGAGATGCATAAAAATACCATTTAAAGGCAATTTTTAAAGAATAAAAGAATATTTCGGATCTCTAATACCTAAGTTATCTGTGTAACAAACCTGCAAAGCATAGTATATTGCAACCAATCCCAAGGGCCAACAGCAACACAAACAGGAGAATATGGCGGGGCAGAGCCAGTTGGTTGGTGAGTATGTTGTAGTGACAGCTGGTGTTGAACCATACATTTTAGCGCCGGGCTTTAAAGGATATGAATTAACAGTATATTTTAAAAATTGCTTAATACAAAGCTTTTGAAAAATCAACATTCTTAATTAAAGCTGAAAAGGAATAAAATCAACTTACCAGAGAGATTTAAAAACATCGTGTTACCATGTGAAAATTAAGATCATTTCACAGTGCTTTTAGAAAGACATGTATTTAGTATATTAGATTGATTTATTCTATTTTATAATATTTTTGATCATTTATAAACGAAATTGCAAAAAAAAGAAGTTTAAATTCTCAAATACTTACACATTGTTGAAAGTCTTTCGGCACAGACTGGTAGGTTGTCGTACCCTGATTATACCCAGCATTGTATGCTATATAGGTAAAAGGTAAAAAAAAACCCATAAATTGAACTGTAGAAAGCAGTAAAAATTGATTTGAATATTAGCTTCTTGACTATATTTTTTGCGAGAAGATCAACTTTCAATCAATTAAGGTACTAAGTAACAAAAAATTGCAATATATATATATATATATATATATATATATATATATATATATATATATATATATATATATATATATATATATATATATATATATATATATATATATATATATATCTTCTTGTGCATATAAGCAAAATAAAAAAAAGGTGTACAAAATAGATTTTAAACTTCTGTGAGAAATTGTAAATTACGAGGTTGTGACTACAAAGTAGGGGTCGCCCGTGTAGCACACTGTTTAACTTTTGCTCAAAAGTGTTGAAACTTACGTCTCCTTCTTCAAAACCAAGATGCTGTGTCGTAGTATGTACACGGATAAAAGTTCTCTTATTGCGTCTAAATACGAGTGAAGAATTCTCGAAAAGGACGTTATACAAACAACCCAAGTGAGTAAATTAAGCTTCTTTAAATTATAATTGTAAAATCTTGTTCACTGAATTGCAAAGGAGGCATGACATTTATAAGGAAGTTAGTTTAATAATAAATTGAAAGGATACACATGTAAAAGATATTGTTTAGTAATCAGGTCCGACATGATGATGAAATTAAGTTTCAGATCCGGGGAAAATATAGATCTACTATTTTGCAATAGATTTATTCAACGTCTTCGGAATCTCTCCTTCTTTAATTTGACCAAAAATGCTGAAAAAAACAAGATGTGTTTGTGAAACACTATGCACCCGGCGGCAACAAAGTTCAAAAAAGCTATTTTCAGCATATAGATCAAGGTCACAAGGTCGTTGACCTTGGTATCATTTGAAAGAACTTGATTAGTGGAGTATGTATATTAAATATGAAGTCTCTTTCTCTCATGATTTAAAAGTTATGGTGAAAGATCAAAAAAGCTATTTTTAGCATATAGGCCACAGTCAAGGTCACAAGCTTAAGGTCATAGATCTTGGTGTCATTTGAAAAAGTTAAATAAGGGAAGTACGCATCTTAGATATGAAGTCTCTGTCTTTCATGGTTCAAAAGTTACGGCGAAGGTTAAAGTTTGTAGAAAAAAAGATATTGTTAGCATATAGGTCGCAATTAAGGTCGCAAGGTCATTGATCTTGGTGTCATTTGAAAGAACTTCATAAGTGGAGTATGCATATCAAATATCAATTCTCTATCTTTCATGGTTCAAAAGTTATGGCGAAGGTTAAAGTTTGCAGACAAACAGACAGACAGGAAAAAAACAATATACGCCCGGATCTATCGATCTGGGCGCATAAAACATATCAAGGTACTCCGATCCTTAGCTAGGAAGGATACAGTAAAATCACATATTTTCGAGTGTCAAATTTTCGCGGTTTGAGGAAAATATATATTTGTTAAAGGGGATTTGATTTCGTGGTTGAAGAATTATTTAGTGGTAATAAATGTAAAAAAAAAATACATTTCTTGAGTCTCATGATTTTTTTTTTCACAGTTCCTCTTAATTTTTTTTATTTTATTCAAAAAGTCTCAAAATGAAGCTTAAAAATTAAATCTTTTCATTCAACAATTTCCATTTAATACCTCTCGATGTGCTTCAAGATTATTTGAAGTTTCAGAAACGTCTCATAAAAAGTAGAAATTTTTACACCAGAAAAGTATACTTCAAAATTTAATATTTAAAGAAATTGAGATTCTTTTAATCTAACCATATACACCAATGTTTTATTGACATGATATGGACTTCAAAGTGATTAATGGTGTTTTGCAATGATAGTAAAATCTTAATACACAATTCATTGTAAAATGATCAAATAAAATAGAAGAAACTGAAGTACATCATATGCAATGTTTTTAAAACCCTGGATACCTATAAATTTTAATTCTAAAATGTGTTTGTTGATCAAATTTGAATTGGAAAATGCATACTAAGTGTTTTTATTCGGATTTCCCGAAAATTTATTTGAGATTCAATAATTTTCCCTATATCATATGATTAACTGTAAAGGTTTAGTTTGAAGAATTATCGTGGGTTAAACACAATTACTTTAAGAATTTATTTTAATGAGTATTTTCAATTAGTCATTGCCTGATTTTTCGAACCTGAGGATCGGAGTACCTTAATTCAAATTAAGCATGTCAATATTCATTATGGCCACTTTAATTCCAGATAGGGAACAATACAGCTAACGTATGAAGTTTAACTTACGGTTGGTGCTACTCATCCTATGTTTATAAACCCTGACTTCTGGCAGAGGTGAAAAGACGCGTGTTACATGTTCGAGTTACAAGGTACTCGGACACTTCCTTGGGTTTGAGTCATGAAGGTATGGCTTCATTCATCTTTTAAAATACATAAGTGCTGTTCAAACTGGAATTATTCATTATGTTCTATAATGTATCAATTATTTCCCTATAACGCATAAAGCTTGTTATGAAACACATTACATTTGTTTCAATATTCAAACTTTGGAAGCTTTTTTTTTGTAGTGGAGCTTTCCGCTTAAATGGTCTCTTTCCTGAACCCTGTCAAAAAAAAAATCAAGTGAAAAAGTCTTTTGCTTTATTTTCAAAGTATACTATTCAAACAAGTAGGGGATATTGGATTTACAAGGACGATGAAATGCAGATCATAATGTCAGAATGAAAACAAATGAAAAGCATTAAGGAAACATTTGCCAATTTATTCGAAACCCTGTAAATAGTCAGGAAAGGACAGATTCTCCAGAATAAAGGTAGACACCAATACAAGGTCACACAGCAAATTTACTACAATTGTAAAACAGAGTCAGTAACGGGTAAAACCTCTGCTATACTCCTAACGAGACATCACAGGTCATTTTGGGGAAGGTTATTCCATTCAATGATGCAGTAAGTTCTTGGAGATTAGCAAGAGGTTATTGACATTACATGATAATTAACGATATTCTGCTTTTGGAGATCATCTGTAACTATCCTTGCCCTGTGTCATCTGGCATTGTCTCGTGAAAAATGAAAGGTGGCCGTTATGACGTGCAAACGGCAAAACATGGGATACCAAGATAGTGTCCTTGAAGTACTACCTTGTGACACGCCCACCAACAATATGCAAGTATGTTCTCCAGGTAACAGTGATGACTCTCCACAATATTTAAGATCCACCTGCATACCGATAATGTCTAATGGTATTAACGTCATGTATACGTTCTTTACGTTGGCGCAAAACCCTCCTGCGTCTATCCAGCAAGTCCTCTTCCAGTGAAAATAGGAGGTGCACAATGGAATATATAATAAAGATTCTGTAAAAGTTTCATCAAATTTCATTCAGTGGTTCGAGAGGAGTTGCGGATAAGAATTGGGTACCCCAAAGCGTAACAGACGAACGGACTTACAGACAGAAGGACGGACGGGCATCCCAATTACTATAAATACCCTCAAGCGGGAGGTATAATTTGCTTTAATCATACATTTATGGTATTCATATATTAAATAGCAAAGGATTCACTAAGTAATTGACTTTGATGACAGTTTCTTCTTATTCAAACACCGGCATGGTAGCTTTCTCAGTAGATCGCTCGTTCCGAGATCGGAAATTTAAATCCCGGCTGCAACTAACCTGGGTCAACAAAATTAGACAGCACCTGTTCCTTCACCCAAGTGCTCAGAAATTGTTACAAAAGTACACCTTCGAATAGTCCTGGGTCCAAAAAAAAGGTCTAACTTTAAAGGTAAAATTCTTGAAAAGAAATTAAACCATCCTCTTTAGGTCGCTATATCTTACATACAGGTAGATTAAAAATAACCAGAAGTTGATTAATTAAATGAAAACATTGCTGTCTTTTTTTATTCCTCAATAAGATGTTGCGGTTCTACAGGTATCGTATTACTAAATCCCGAGTTGTATTTCATATCTTAAATAAAGTTTTATATCTAGACATGATTTTGTTATATATTCACAATTTGTAAATAAATTCAAGACTTCCAGAGAGGTGTATTGTACATTAATTGACTAAATAACACGTTTAACTAAAAAAATTAGCACAGTCTTTGAAAAATTTTTTTGGAAAAGATAATAACTAACACTTTATATATGAAATCAACTTCTTAAGCGTAAGCAGAACCTTGATAAATGGTACTCATACTTGGCAATATCTCAAAATGATTAAGGAAGTGAAATTATGTCTATCTCATTGCCAATCGCAGTTTCTTTTACGGGTTGATTCTTTGTTGGAAAGTCAGTACATTCGTGAAATATAAAGCTAACACGACTCCCACTGTGACGAGTCCGATGAAAATGGATGTAATTGTCAAGGTTTTGGCACAAGAGGCAGATTGTTCAGCACCACGTAAATCATTCCTCTCTACTCTCTGGTTGGCCTACAGTAAGACATATTAGTGTTAAAAGCATTAATATCGATATATTTGTGCCTATAAAATGCTGGTACATAATATTAGCACTGATAAATATGTACATACAGAAATGATGAAATGCTAAGAGAATTTTAAGTATTTTGCCTTTTTAAGGAAATAAATTAAAATGAACATTATCAAAGTTCAACAATCTAAAATTGCTCATCAACAAACCTCCCAAGCGTAGAAGATCGCAACTAATCCTAAAGGCCAAAAGCAACACAAACAGGAAAAAATGGCGGGGCAGAGCCAATTCGTAGGTGTTTGTGTTATGGTGACAACTTGTGTAGAACCATACACTTTAGCGCCTGACTTTAGAGAAAACAAAGCTATATCAAACATTTATTGCGTGCTAGATTTTCGATAAACCCCATATCTTAAACACTGTGGAATGAAGTCGATCGACTAGTTACATGTAGCAGAAAATACAGACCAAGTTTATGTAAATTATCAATTAAGTATTCAAGATTTAAATGAATTTACCAAAAAAGTAATAAATGAAATTGATTCACTGTATCTTGTATTTTAGACATTGACCTATTGCAAAACTGTGATACATGTATGTGTCCTTTTGACTACTTACATGATGTTGGTAGCCTGGCGACACAGACTGGTAAGTTGTCGGTCCCTGGTTATACCCAGCATTGTATGCTAAATAATTATTGAATAACATTAACACATAGGCAAAAGCTATTACTGTGATGGGAAAAGAGTAAAAACTTCAAAACACATCACATTCGAAATTTTGAGATTATGACATTAAATGAGTTACACCTGCTTGTTATGAAAACATCTTATACTCGTAAATAATAATTATTGAGGTAGAAATTATGGTCTCCATTGGAGTCATATGTTTTAAAATGGAAAAACAAAAGTTTCATTTTTGTTTTTAAAATTCCAGATAATGCTCTCTATTTATTTATAAAAGTGATAAAGATTGATTACATTTTATGGGCTAAGGCAGAAAGGGGGAAACAAAACCATCACAAAGTCTACAATCTTGTACTGATATTTAAGATAATTTTATATATACATGTACATTATTTGCGACTTCAATTAATCTTAAGATATATACTTTTCCATACATCTAGATTTTGCTATATATATCTTCGAACCAATGAGTAAAAGTGATGGAACAATGCTGTATTCTGAATTGATCAACATATCATAAAGCTATTAAAAATGTTCTTTATATTTTGTAATTCTAATCCCCCTTGACAAATTATGTGTGCACATACAAAATACTTTTCTTTTGATTGAAAAATTCGAAATTGATGAAAAAAATAATAATGGTAAACTCACGATTGCCTGTGTTCATGTTTGATATACCGCATTCTGATCAAGATAGCGTAGGCTTTGTTTATTATGTAGCACTTGACCAATAATTTCCTCATGATTTTATTTAATAAATGGGCAAAGGACTTCCTTTAAATCTGTATTTCCTTCTCGTAAATGCTTGAAATAGAATCAAAGTGAGGTTCCTCAAGGAACAAGTCGTGTAGCTTGCCTATAATTTCAGATTTAAATATAGTATTTCGATTAAAAAAAAATAATATTAGGTTTTAAATTGAAATTTTAAAATAAAGTTCTTATTACTGAAATTGTTTTTTTTTCATGAAATTAACCCAAAAATGATAAACTTTTTAAAAAAAACTTTTCTAAAAATTGTGTTATAGTACGGAAAATTTTCTCTTTAGTTTATGTATGCTATTTCAAAAATTTAATATTTTTTAAAAAAAATAATATGGTACTTGTGTAGTTCGAACCCTAGAAGAAATATCCTGGGCACAATTGTTTTATGTTTTATGACAAACACGCATAAAACATACCCAGTAACTGCTGATGAAAAGTATTTTCAGGAAAGTGTGAATGCTGCGATTTTTATAAAATTCTGGGCTATTTTTTTTCAAGGTATTGTTGGACTTAGCTTAATGTTTTGATAACCCAAAAATGTATAGTTTTTAACAAGATTTGCAATAAAAGGATCTGTTTTATATTATAATTTTATTGAAAAAAAACTTTTTAATTTTGTTAATTGTATAACGTTAGATTAAAAAATTATAAAATTAAAAGGTACATAAAGGATAAAACAAGATCAACTCATTTCTAAAAATTGTGTTATAGTATGAAGAGTATAAACATGTGCTTGCCATGCGAGCGTGCAACCTTTGCTTTTTTTGGAGGCGGAGAACCTTTTCTTCATAGTTTATGTATGCTATTTCATAGGCAATTCATTTTAATATTTTTGTAAGGTTTTCATAAATTGTGGTGATTATATAACGTTTACGTTTATGTAAAATGAAATATAAGAGACAAATCCATCATAATAAAGATTATTTTTTCAAATTCATGTTTGTCGCGCTATTGGCATTTCACTCGACTTTATAACTCATTTCTTAGTTTTAAACAAGAATTTTTCACAGATTGATGAAAATTGATAATTTAAAATTTCTCCCAAATTCCAACATCTTATTCGAAGTCTTACAGTACATATCTTTTAATCATTGCAATTGACTATGTATGTTTAAAAATTACAAGGAGGAAACTTTCAACATTTCTGATTACCTGATAGATTTGTTTTACTTTTGCATTTATTTGTTAACGTAAGGAATTGTACGTTTTTAAATTCTTACTTCTTTCATTTAAATCATTCTAATCTCTGACAGTGTGTATATTTAAACTTCCTTATTATTTCATAGCAGGAGGTACTGTAGTTAAATAAGTAAATATCTATCTCTATTCTTTCGCACACAAAAGTTTAAATAAAAGGAAACAATTTTAACCAATAGTTTGGTTATTTTTTTAAAGATAAAACCCTTATATAGAAAATAAAGTGTGTAAATTTTTGAATCAATATTTTGTTCTTGTTTTTTTATGATAAAAACCTTATATATAAGATAAAGTGTGTAAATATTTAAACAATATTTTTCATTTTTTTTAAAGATAAAAAACTTATGAGATTCTTTAGTTAAAATCTTAAACTTAATATTTTTTGAAAAGGGTTACAGGTCTTCCAACAATCTATTGGGATTCCCTTTGGTACCTATTGTGCCCTGTTTTTAGCAGACCTACAGAGTAATTCTGTATTCATATGAAGCAGAACTTGTCCAGAATTTTATACGTGAAAAGAAGAAAATACTTGCTGTGGCCTTCAACTCAGAATTTAGATACAAGTATATCGACCAAGTATTGTCATTTAACAATGCTTATTTCCATTCTTATCTCGATACGAGATATCCCAGTGAGCTTGAGATAAAAGATACCATATAGTCTGACACATCTGTTTCATATTTGGATATGTTACTTGAAAAGACGTTAAAGGTAATTTAACAAACAAGTTTTATGATAAACGTGATGACTAACTTTCAATCGTCAACTCTCCTTACGTATGCAACCATTTACCTTCATCATCTGCAAACGGAGTCAAAATCTCTCTGTTGATTCGATACGCAAGAGCATGCTCAACGTATGTACAATTTCTTATACGAGATAAACTATTGACAAACAAGTTGATGAAACAACAGTATCTGTAGTCTTGTTTAAAGTCATCATTCCATAAGTTCTATAGTCGATACAATGACCTTGTCAGCAAATACAATTTATCAATGAGTCAAATGGTGACTGACGTTTTTATACTACTTGTTGGGTCATTATTTACACATGGAATTGTCGACGGATTTTTCCATTATTTCCCGATCATGACAAGGAGCACACAGTGGGTGTGACCGGTCGGCAGGGGGTGCTCACTCTTTCATGGCACCTGATCCCGTCTGATGTTGTGAAGGTCCGTAAAGCTGGGATCCGAACTTGGCAAACATAAACCAGGATTTATCATTGATCCTTTCTTTGACCATGGTCTTTTATCTTGAAATGTAAGTAAAGGTCATCATGAAATATGAGCAAAACTAGTCAAACATACATGAGTTTACTGGAGGAAAATATTTGCAAAGTCTGTGTTCAGTCATGGGACAACTGTCCAGGAAAGTTTGAGCAGCCACAAAAAGACAAGAAACCACTGATTTGTAATTGTCAAACACAAAATTAGGATTAGTTTTAAAGCATTTAACGAAACTTTGCAATAAAACAAACAAAAATATGTAGGATAATTTAATAACAAAAAATGTCAAAAATACTTACAAAATGTTGAACAAACACTCATTGGACTTTCATGTGTGGACAACCATAGTATCCATAATGCTGTGAAAGAGATCTACAATTGGTCATCCTTCGTGGCTAAAGGGACAGCAGTGAGTCGGTGGACTGTGCTGAAGATTCTCTCAAACAAATCATCCTGCTGAAGTGTCCCCTATAATCACATACAAACTTTGTACAATATACAGTATAAACTGTCCATCTCCTCGAAAAGTACACTTTACTGAAATCAATAAACCTTGATATTATCGAAGGGATCAGAAACAGGTTGGTCTGATTTGTGAAACTCCCCTTTTTAAACACAAATTACTAGTACGCTAAAATTAATACTTGCCATAATTTGCCGTTTAACTCTCTATTGTAGGTTTATTTATTTTTCTACCGGGATCTTTTTCTTCTATTTCCCTCCCAGATTTTTCAGGTTGTCACCTTCCCTTCATAGCATTAACACATATATTCAAAGGTTAGGAAGCAAAAAGGAGTGAATAGCCTCCACAGTATATTGAGGCTTACTACCATATGGTAGCGGGCATCAATTCTAAATGTGCATCCACTTATACGGCAAATAACACACAAGAAAATGTTGCTTTAAAATAAAACATTAAAAAGAACAGAAGTGTACGAAGCTATATCCAGCAAACATATACCAAAGTTTCACTGCATTTCAAGCATTAAGAGAGCCAGCCATTCACACCATTGTTGAATGTAGTTAGAGATTTAAAAGTCAGATTATATATTAAAGACAATGAAAAAGTTAGTAGTGTCAAATGAAAATTCTACCTTAGTGTTTACCTACTAAATGATAATATATCATCCCATAATTATCAAACCCAATTTGTTATTCTTGAGGACTAATAGATTTAATGCTGGACTTTTGGTATAAACAGAACATTTTCTGAAAACAAGAAAACAAATACAACATTAATTTTAATCATGGGGTACTTACTAAATGGTAAAATTTAACACTGTAGAATTTTGTCCGAACCTTCTAATTGTACACCATACTGAGGGAGATATTAAAATAAAATGTTGAAACAAATATAGTGCAAATAATTCAGATAATGGTATAAATAGAATCTAAATAATTAATCTATTTTCAAACCTGATTTAACCAGAAGTCTCTGTCAAGACTGTAGCTCTACTGGTTTATACTTAAAACAAAGGAAGAGAGAAGTACCAGTTGCGACTTGAAACTTTAAAACAGCAATAAATAGAAAATGATCCTTGCCACTCATCAAAGCAAAAACCGGTGCAGAGAATTATATATCTTAGTGTAGTCTACTTGTGTGCCAAGTTATATTGAAATCATACCAAAACTGTAGGAAGAGTAGCATTTTGAAAGAATTTCTTAGAAATTTCTATTTTTAATAACCACGGCAACACCGTTCATCCAAATCAAAAACCGATGCACAGCATTATGTACCTTATTGTAGTCTACTTGTGTGCCAAGTTATATTGAAATCATGCCAAAACTGTAGGAGTAGTAGCATTTTGAAAGAATTTCACAGAAATTTCTATTTTTAGTAACCTCGGCAACACCGTTCATCGATATCAAAAACCGATGCACAGAATTATTTATCTTAGTGTAGTCTACTTGTGTGCCAAGTTATACTGAAATCATGCCAAAACTGTAGGAGTAGTAGCATTTTGAAAGAATTTCACAGAAATTTCTATTTTTAGTAACCACAGCAACACCTTTCATCGAAAGGAAAACCGATGCACAGAATTATGTATCTTAGTGTAGTCTACTTGTGTGCCAAGTCATATTGAAATCAAACCAGAACTGTAGGAGGAGTAGCATTTTGAAAGAATTTCAAAGAAATTTCTATTTTTAGTAACCATGGCAACACCGTTCATCCAAATTAAAATCCGAGGCACAGAATTATGTATCTTAGTGTAGTTACTTGTGTGCCAAGTTATATTGAAATTGGACCAAATCTGTAGGAGGAGTAGCATTTTGAAAAATTGTTTACAGACAGCAGACAGACGGACGGACGCCGGACGCATTACTATCGCATAAGCTCTTCTGGTCTCTGACCAGTAGAGCTAAAAATGGAGACAAGCAGTCTTTTGCAGGATACCGGCTGCCACCTAAACGATGACACTTAACTGGCCAAAGATGCCTTTCAAACAATTGAACGAGTCAAATTTACCTGAGAATTTCGTTGCTCAAAGTCAGGTTGAAACTAATCAAGAATTCTTTTATTTACAACACACACACAAGCTGGACGGTGACGGTACGAAAATACTCGCGGTTGACATACTCGGCTTCGTGTTCAGATGGTGTAAGAAGGCGAACTTGGGTACCATCAATGGCCCCAATAGTTCCCGGAAATTACGCTATTTCAAAAAAAAATTAACCTGGTTCAACCTTATAATGTCAATTTGTACATGTAAAACTATTAACCCTCTGAAATTTTGTTGCTGTACCAAGACAGTGCATGGTAACTCTGTTGATTACTCTTGATTTTTGCAGTTCAAAGTTATATCGACTACACAATTGCATTTTCACGGTAGAAGAAAGTCTAAAAGTGACCAGTACTTGGATGTGTGCCTACACATCATAATTTCAAAAATTGCGTGGAAGCAATTGAGTCACGATTTTGTGCTTAGCAGGTTGGAATTTGACTTAGCATATTGCTAAATATGTTGCATTAAGTTCTCAAATGTTAAACAGGTCCTGTTAAACCTTTTGTTGTTACCGCATCGATCAGTATGACTGATAGCGCGTTAAAACACGACTTCACGAAAACAGGATCGCCCAGACAGTATACTGTCAGTATCTCTTTTGTGAAAATATTAAGGTAAACAATGTACATACATGTATCATCTTTTAGAAAATGTTTTGTAGTTTTAAATCTTGTTAAGAATTATCTGCCTTATACGTCGATAAAATATAGATTTTGCGTTTTAAGAAATCATGACGTTTTGAAAATGGCGCAATCTTCTAAAGCAAATATGATTTTCTCGACGAGGAGCATCTTTTGACCCGTTTGATTAGATAAAGAAAGTTTTATATATCTAAATAGCATGTTTTGTTGATTTTTAAAGCCATACATGGCGTATCTGATCTAAAAATATTATAATATACAAAAAATATTTAAGGAATTTAGAATTGTAATGCATACGAACATGGGGGTAAAGCCCGATATGTTTCTTCATACTTCAGATAACCCACAAAGAATGTCAGATTTCTTCCAATTGTAACCTAATATAAAAAATAAAAACAATTTCAAGTATTATTATTACATCTTATACAAAGATGACACACATTATTTTGTTTTAGGAAAAAATACCGGTATTTAATATAATATTTTAAACAGACACTCTTCGATGTACACACCATACAACTAATATAAGGGGTATACTTTCAAGATTCAGTAAAGATAAAAAAATAAAAACAAAAGAATCTAAGAACTGAGAACAACATTCTCTTTATTGCACACCACTATTATTGAAGCCCGGAGGACCGCTCTATACATATAAGTTTAAGTTTTTGTTTATGGGGATTGAGGTGGGAGAAGTTATTCAGAATTAAAGGTTTTCTAAATATTAAAAAGATTGTTAATCAGAATGTTCTTTCCCTTTCTAAATTATGAGAAACACAATATAATTACTTCCATAAAGTGAATCTGTAAAAATATATAAGTTTCTCATATTTAATACATAAAGTTGCTTATCATTTACTATCGAAAAAACGACAGGTCCCTTTTTTAGAACATCGAATTTTACTTATCGCAGAAAAACGTACTTTACACAGTTCGTGTTTTATATTCTTAAAGTGAAATACATTTTTGAAAATAGATGATGCATGTATCTGGTTTCATTATATATTTTATACAGCCATCATTTACTTGAGGAATTAGTAAAGTTGAAAAGGGTATCGTTTTTGTTCGATTTTCATCCGGCTATGATTTTTCAAAATATTCTCGACTGTCGTCTCCATCATATAAACGCATACCTTTTTCACACATATCGAAGCAATTTGATGATCAAGACTCATTTCCATTGTTTACTTTATTTATTTCCCGGGCGACGATTGATGGTTACATCAATGTTTTCTTGTTGTATATAGTTTAAGAATGTAGAAGTCTGCCAAGTGGGAAAATATTGCCTATTTACTGAGATCAATTAATGGATAAATCTCAGTGAAACAAGAAGTCTTCTAGCCAATGATCACTAGTAATACCCCTGCTCTGATGTAACTATACACTATCATGTTAATACACACAAGTTCAATTACGGGCAGATGCACAGATAAATAGGAAGTTGACATCAGATTCATATAAAAATAAATCCAACCATACGGCATGCCTCAACAAAACATGTGCTAAAATTTCAAACATATGTAATGAGTAGTTGCCGAGAAAACTGCGACCAACTTCGGTATGTATGAAACGGACAGATACATAGTTTTGAACATCGGATTTGAAGAGAAATGAATCCCATCATATGACATGCCACAGGGAAGATTATATTGAAGCCACTTGGTCCGATTCTAATCGCTAAAAAAATATATTTGTTTTTCTTCGTGAAAAATAATTGTCCATAAATTATTTCAACTTTTGTCAAATTATATTCCCAAAGTCTTTTTCTTTTTAAAGATATCAAAATTCAAAAGTTAAAAAAATAATTTTTGTTAGGTCACACAAAAAATAATCCTTTGTTTACATTGCGTGAAATCACCTTCGAAAAATTAAATTTATCGCTTATATGTATAACTCATGAAGAACAAACCCGAACATTTTTCCCACAACAAAGTGTACACGGGCAATATTCTAGCCCTCGTTACTAAACTCCTTTTTTAAGAAATCTTTAAAAAGATCTGATTTTCCTTTATTCTGTAAATATGCATATTAATATAAAAATTATAAACTATAGATTATATTCAGTTAATTTATAAATTTTTAAAAGATATATCATGACTTAAGATTCTACCAATGGAAAAAAAATACTCGGGTTTGAATTCTCTTCATAATTAAATATAACCGATAAAAGTCCTTTTCTAACTTCCCGTCAGGAACTGCTGTTTGTCAACAAGGTTTTTGGTCTATGTTTTCCATGTCAGGATTGTTGTAATAAACTATTAAATCAATCTTATAATTAATTTTCATATATAATCTATGTAATGATACTTTTATCATGTTTATTGTTTAAGATAATATGTGCCTGTTTCGGATGAAGCGGCTTTCAAATTTCAAGCATTAGCAATATATAAGTAGTTGCTAAGAAAACTGCGAAAACGGACAGACGCACGGATTTTTATCGGAATTGAACAAAAATGAATATCAGTAAAAAAATGGCATGCCTGAGACAAAATTGTGTTAAAATTGCAAGCATTTGCGATGAGTAGTTGATAAGAAAACTGTAACGAAAATTTGTTATGTATGAAACGGACAGACACACAGATAAACAGGGAGTTGACATCAGATTTGAACAAAAATCAAGTCCACCATATGGCATGCCTCAGAGAAGATTGTGTTAAAATTCCACATATTTTAAATTTATTACGGACAGACAGACGGACACACAAGGGTAAAACAGTATACCCCCTCTTCTTCGGAACGGGGATATAACTAGACCTGCAAAATTTTCCTTTCTATATATTGATCCCTGTAAGATGATTAACAAGGTTCCATAAAGAGCCCCATCCCACTCATTTTGATATGTCGCTTACCTCCACCTCTGGATAATGGCCACCCTTCATGGGGGTTGGACGTTTCTTCGGTGGTCGACAGGTTAATTGACTTCCAGTGGATGTTACAATACATTCACTTTTACCTATTTTTATCTCAACATCATCCTTTTCTAATCGCAGTTGATCAAGGTTTTTCCCCTGTAACATATTCCACAATATTAAGAAAGCATGTATTACAATTACTAGAATTTTCAATGGGAACAATCAAGTTTCAAGGCTAGGGTTTTTATCTTGTTAAATGGAGTCATACTAAATTCAATATCAGTAAAAAAAATGCTAGAAAATGCCCCGAATGTAGAAAAATTGTGATGTACAGATTATTCCTTGATCAAATTATTTATGAGAGTAGAAGAGATATTTGTGGAAATTTTATTATATACAATGATACCATGTCTATGTGGTCAGCCCATCAATATCTTATCGATTTCCACATATTTTAAATTATAGACACAGATGAACAAGATCTTTTATCTAAGTTCATTTGAAATCATACTGTTATCCCAAATACCTAAATATTTCGATAACTCAATTGGACAAACCTCTTAAAACAACTTACACTTATTGTTAAGAATTCATTGTCATCGCATTGTCGCGCCATAGCATCATCGTCATCGCGCTATCGCACCATCACTTTCGCTATCGCACCATCGCCTCATCGTCATCGCATTAAAAACTAAACCTCGATGGTGCGATGATGCGATAGTGAAGTGCGTGGCCCTATCCGGATTCCATAAACTACTGTTCATCCCAAATACCTAAATATTTCACTCAAATGGACAAACCTCTTAAAACAACTTACACTTATTGTTAAGAATTCATTGCTCTTCCAATAAAATTACTTAATTTTGTCATTAGGAAAAGCACTGATATCTGGGTCAGGGTAAATTTGGAAGAATTCATTGTGTGTGGCGCTGATATTGCGTATATTCTGGACATTGTCAATTATGAATCCAAAAGCCAAGCCCTGCTGGTCTTGTGAATTAGGTTTCTTCGTGATCAATGCTGACTCCACTTGTGGGGTTCTGCATTCCATTGTAACATCATCACGGACTTTACATACCTATTAATAGTGTTTGAATAATTAATTTAGAAATGGACACAGGTGTTAAATGTTAATCATGTTTTTACAAGACCGATCTCTTGGTAATATTGTTATCTTAATTTACAGCCTCATTCATAAACTGAATAATTCAAAAATGCCCACTTGGTGCAGTTTGTTGAAATTAATGATTACTTTCTTATGTCATAAAAGTGAATTTAACACTGTTCTAAAAGGAAAACTTGCTTCGATATGTTTCCTTAGGTAATCTCAAAGTTTACAAAAGTTAAACTCATAGGCCTAATTCTGATAAATATTATAACCTACCCTATTGCTTTGTTGACATATCAATCAATATTAGAGAAGAACAGTGTAATGACTTACTCCGTAATAGGGATCCTTGAGTCGGTCAGGACTGTAGAAGATTAGTTTAGGAGACGAATTCTGGATTGGAAGGAAACCATTGCCTTTGACCAGGACTTTCAATCCTCCACTGTATAATTCAACATTATATCAAATTACATTCAAAATCTTTAAATGATATGCAGAAAAAATGAAAGAAATTTACGAATCCTTTATATACAATACTCCATAAATGTAATTGCTCAAACAGCCTACTGTATTAAACAATCATTTCCTGTCAAATATGAACTAAAATGCTCTTGATGATTTTCCTTAAAAAGTTTATTTATATCCATTACAGTACAGTACAGTCACCAGTGCCATATTCTTAAATCATCCTCTATCATAAATTCCATAGGGAAACAATTCATATTTATACATTCACAAATTATGTGTCTTTGATTTTCAGTTAAACACCTGACCCATCTGGTGAGAAAGTCGTACCTGACAATAGAGATTCTCCTGTCCACTCCTGAAACAGTAGGATCCTCCACATATTTGTAGACGAGGTCACTCTTAACCAGCTGGTTATCAAACATCATGTATAACTCCTCTGTATACCCTTTCTTGTTAGCTTGAGCTGTTTCACAGGTTATCTTTGATTTTGTTATGCTATAATTAGATCATAAGAAGACGATATCATGATTTGTTTTTATACCAATTGTTATAGCATTTTTTACACACTGAATTGTCGACGGATGTTTCCGTTATTTCCAAATCATAACAAGGAGCACAACACAGGTGTGTCCGGTCGACAGGGTATGTTCACACCTCCATGGCACCTGATCTCACCTCTGATGTTGTAGAGGTCCTTGTTTGCTCTTCTCCTATTTTGTATTGTTTAATGGTCTTTTGAGCTTGAATACTCTTTCTTATCTCCATATATTTCATTAAATATATATTTAAATTATCCACTGTGACATCTTTCATTAGGTTTCACTGAATAGCTCCAAAACATAAATACTTTTGATTAGGTGTATACCTTTTAGTATCAATTCTGCATTCATATTCAGAGCGACCAAAGTATGCCTTTCTTTCACTTCCACAGTCTAATTCTTTTCCAAATATAGTGACCTTTGTGCCACCTGACTTGGGACCTTGGACAGGTGTGATATCTGTAATTTCTGGATCCTGAAAAAAGTACACAATACATTTCTTTTGTTTAAAGTTTTCCTTCTTTCCTTACCATAATTCTCCTCCTTTCCAATGATTTTTTAAACTTGAACATTGCTTCTCCTAAAATCAATTTCAAATAAATTTCAAATCAATTCACAAAAGGTTAACACCTGTTCTACCCCTTTTTAAAAATGTTTTACATGTCTTTACTTGGGCTAAGTCTTCACATAATGTTTTATACTTTAATGTTTTCATTCTATTTTAAGACAGGTAAAAAAAATTAAAAAGTGAAAAAGATGATGTTCTTTCACAAAAAGACGATTTTTTCCCAAAGAAAAGCAGTGTCAATTTGCTGGAAAACATGGATCAAGGTACCATACACATCTTACTACTGACAATAACATGTCACTTATCTAAAATTATCCAACATCTATTTCAATTAAAAACACACATAAATATGCAGCACCTCTCTTGTAACATAATTTCATTCACAGAAAACTTTCTCAAACAATGAATTTATGAGGTGTTCACATTTTCAACAATACGTAGATTGGTGTTGTTTTCACGTTTTTACTAAAACACTGGTGTGGTGTTCACCTAATTTACAATGAATTTGAATTGATGTGGTGTTCACATTATTAACAATGAAATGATGTATTGTTCACAATATGAACATTAATAAGTTTCCTTGAACTTTGGGCTTTCGGGAAAAGAATCAAAGGGTTTCTTCTTTTCTGAACCACGCATTTCAGTAGACAGTATAAGACTAAAAAGACAAGTTCTTTAAATGTTTATTCCCATGTTCTAATTCTTTATTTCAGTATGTCATCAATTCAGATCAAAACATTGGATAAGCGCGGCAGATGACCTTTCCTTAAAGCCATTTTCTGGAAGGGGCAATGAATTTATTCAGTTTTAAATTCACTCAGAAATAAATGCATTACTGCAAGTGGCAAATTGTAATCCTCAAAAATCAAATTGAAACTATTAATTTTCAATGTTGATCCAATTTTCAGTATAGAATCCCTGAGAGTACTTACCACGTAGGTAAAGTTTTGTTTGGACTCAGCTGTTAGTTTTAATGCTACAGTTACTCTCACTCTGTCTGACCTCTCTTCCTTCCCAATAAACTGACCAGTCGTACAAACAATCCTGTCCAAACAGAAAACATCATTACATCATCTAAATATGTGCCTTACTGAAATATTTACTTTAAGGAGGGGATAATCAAGACTTACTTCTTGGATATGACATATTTTGTGCGAATAGGAGAGCATAGAACTCCTGCTATGTCCACGTTGTTGTCAATGTCTTCATAGGATTTTCCTAAATCTCTGCCTTCTATAGTCAGCAGGGTCCCGCCTTCTTTAGGGCCAGTAAGTGGATAAATCTGATAAAAGTTTTACAACTACTTACAATATCACCTTGTTTCAAATAAGCACAACATTTTAAAATCTATTGTATTACTATTTAGTTTGTACGGTCATTTTATTTGATCTGTATTTTCTTTTCAAATTCAAAGACGTTAAAATTTTCATAATAAGATACATGTATGCACAATTACAATACGATTTTCATTTCCTGGCTTCAGGATTTAAAGTTGCTGCATTATAAAGCCTAACCAGAATGATATTTAAAGGTACCCATATGTATTTCTGATCTTCTTGATAAAGAATAGTATTTATTAATAACTTATTAATTATCATTAACTACTAGTTCATTAATGTAAATAAAAGAGACATATTATATCTGGTACATTGAGAGATGTTTTCCCATTCACTGGAGATTTTTTTCTTCGATCATGATAAAACTAAACTTTGAGTCTTGTCTTCCATATGTAAATGAATGCTTTAGCAATCAATACAGAATAAAATGTAGCAAACATTTTTAGATAACAGTAGTACAAATTAGAAAACTGGAGGTCATGTGAGTACTGAGCTCACAAAATGATACACCTGCTCCATGCATGTAATGCAGAGTGTATTTCTTGGCAATATGTAAGATCGAAGTCTTTGATTTTTTTTTTTGATTTATGAATTTCTTTCTCAAAATAAGCATTATTAGTTAAAAAAAAAAAACTTATTTAATTTCAAAACGGCAGTAAATCTGATCTGAATAAAAAATAATACACAACGATTGTATATTTCGTCTTTATTCTGTTTAATCACATTACTTTTTATTAAATTTCAATGCATTTCTCTAATTTCAGACTGTCATTTTCATTCAGCTCTGACATTTATTAATCAGTACTTGATTCATTATTGTTATACTTCTGTTTACATGTGAAATGTTATAAACAATTTCCCATAAAACACAAAACCTAAAGTAAGAGGTCATGAGTAGAGAGAAAACTGGCTACTATAAGTAAATTAGATATTTTGATAGATTATGCCACATCCCATTCCAAATGGTTTTTCCTCTTTAAATGCTACATATCATAATTGATCTAAACTTATTCAACTGTTCGTAGGCAAATGAGGTGACCTAAGAAATCTTTCAACATGGAACCAGAAGATGGTAGAAGGAGAAAAGTGAAAGTGATACCACTGTAATGATTTAAAAACATCTCAAATGTAATGTTTGGGGAAGTAGAGCTGAGATTACAAAAATATGCCGTATAATTTAACACAACAAAAACTCGAAATAATTTCTATAATCACAATGATAAGACATGCAGTTTGAGCATTGTGTTAACAAGCCTATTTGTACTATTGCGTGACATACCCTCCTTATAATGGGTTTTGGGCATTTGGAGCATTGTGTTAACCATTCTTTGTAATATTGCGTAACATACCCTTGTTATAATGGGGCTTGGACAGTTGGAGGTGTTGGGTAACCAGTCCCCAGACATACATGAAGACTGTACGCTGCACTGATTTGCCGTTCTGCACCATCCACATACGTATTCTTCTTTCTGGGTTAGACATTCTCCACATGTATCAGCCATATTCTCGCATTTGTACATGATAACTGGAATAAACATCACATAATATTATTAAATGGTTTTACCGTGATGTCTATGTGTATGCAATGAATGTGCATTTTATAAACTAAATTGTTTTTCAATCAGGGTTAATACTTTTGAACTTTGCTTATGTGTATAAAGTATACTATTATTTTCCAAATCTACTGCATGGTATTAGCTAATATTAGCTTATAGTTACGCATATAGTTTGATCTGTGTATGTTTGTATGTGGTCTCATTAGTTTCTTCTCGAATTTAATCACGAAATAACTGCGAAATTTTGCACTTCGCGTAGGTCTAATGCCACAGCTTTAAATGATGGAAAACTGTAAGAGACCAGACAGTCAAAGAAATTGATATCAAAGCTGTAATCTTTTTACCTTGTACATTATGGGGATTGTCTAAAGGTTTGGGTACTTTGTCACCCCACAGGATCGTCATTGGTACATTGTAAATCTCTGAATCCCCTGGGTAAAAGAACTGGAAAAAACCCTTATTTAATTACGCGGTATGTTAAGGCAATGTTTTCGGAAGAAAACCTGTGTGACCCTTCAAGGGCAGTGTGGTATACAGTTACTATATGCTTACTCTGGTCTTTTTACATCTGATCATCACAATCACTGGCATGACAAACACTTCTGCAATCACTCCTTGTGGCTCTGTCTCGGAATGGAATGCAAACGCACACTTGATAGGCCTCTGATATGGCTTTGAAAACAAAATTTTCAAAAGTTATGTCTTTCAAATCAATCTATTCTTCGCAATAAATTTGTGTTTTGATTCATTAAGCACGGATATCATAGGCTCGTATTATGCCTAAAATTAAAATCTTAAGTTTAACTTCCTGTAACGGGTACTAGTTTGTGGAGTATAAAGGATCTGCTGGTGGTCACCTTTATCCTGATAAGGTTAAGAATGATCGTCTTCTCTATTCCGGATGGCACCAGTATGTTGTGATATTTGCTGGGATCCATACTGGGACAAAAATTTGGTCCACTTTCATTAGGTATAGACATCCCAGTATTCTACGAAAAAAATAACACATTTATAAAGAGGTTTGGCCCTCAACATTTAAGATTTTTGTGTTGAACTGTATTCAAAAAATTCTACAAACTTTTAGTTCTTACAATAAATATGGATTCTATAATGCTATTTAAACTAGTTTCAATTAAAACCCCATGATTGAATTCCATTCCCCCAAAATTAGTGAGGAGCTTTATTTTGAGGCGGAAGTTTTTTTTAGAAGCTAAGGTTAGTTTTTCCTCCTTCGAAGTATTCAGTATTGTTAAGTTTGGATTAATATTTTTTCACATGCTGCACGCAATAAGGATAATTTTTTGCAGTGAAATGTTCTATGCTGGTCCTAAAGTATATATTATATTAACTTTCATGAAATCTATCATAATATAAAATATATCGTGAACTTCCTTGTAAAAAAGGCCAATTTAAGCTAAAAATTAGCACTTTTTTAGTATTATCTCAAAATTAACATCACATATCCCCACTTATTATTTCATTTTCTGAATATATAAGACAATTTTGACCTCTCTGCTTCAATTAAAAAAAATGACATTGCATGTACTTTCAAATGATTTTATTACTTTTTAAATCTTTTACAACGGAAAAAAAAACATTTAGTTAGTGCAGAAAGTAATTGACTATGCGGAAAAATTTGAAAATATTTTTGTTGTCACAATTTCTAATGTGACTATTTAAAACGAAAAACGACTGTGTTTAATTCAAAAATTCATCTGGATGAAAATTATTTAAGGAAAATATTTGAAAAATATTTCAGCTACTAGACGTGATTATAGTGTAAAAAGGTCATATTAATTGCGCCGCAGTGCTAAAAGAAGCGCACTGATCCCCGTTTTTTGTTTTGATTTTTAGCTCACCTGAGCAGAAGGCTCAAGTGAGCTTTTCGGATCACATTTTGTCTGGCGTCCGTCTGTCTAGCTGTCCGTCTGTCTGTAAACTTTTCACATTTTCGACTTCTTCTCAAGAACTGGGCCAATTTCAGCAAACTTTTTTGAAGGGATTCAAGTTTATTCAAATGAAGGGCCACGCCTCATTCAAGAGGAGATAATTGGGAATTAATGAAAATTTGGTCGTGTTTTAAAAAGCAAACTGTGCCAGAAAAAATGAAACATTGGAAACATTCAGGTAGTGTAGATTCAAGTTTTTTCAAAATGAAGGGCCACAATGGCCTCAAAATTTTACAAGAAATATATTGGGAATAACAAAGCCATAATTGATCATATTTATATGGAAGCATTAGGTAGTGAAAATTTGGTGGCATGCCAAATTTTACATAGAAATTTAAAAATTCTTTAAAAATTTCTTCTCAAGAATAACAAAGCCATTATTGATCATATTTATATAAAATGAAACAAATTATGTGGAAACATCCTAAACCAAGGCCCCGTGTAGTGTAGATAGGCACAAATTTGCAGCCCTTCACCGGCAATGGTGACGTCTCCATATCAGTGAAATATTCTGGAGAGGGACGCTAAACAGTATACAATCATAATAATAAGTATATTCAAATTTGTTCAAATCATGACCCTGTGGGGTAGGGCGGGGCCACAATGGCCGACCAAAGTTTTACATAGGAATATATTGTAAAATTCTTTAAATATCTTCTCAAGAATAACAAAGCCATAATTGATCAAATTTATATGGAAGCAGGTAGTGTAAATTCAAGTTTGTTCAAATCATGACCCCCGGAGGTAGGTTTGGGCCAAAATGGTAGATCAAAGTTTTACATAGGAATATAAAGGAAAATTTTTTTAAAATCTTCTTCTCAAGAACCACTGGGCCAGGAAAGATGAAACTCATGTGGAATCATCCTCAGGTAGTGTAGATTTAAGTTTGTTCAAATCATGACCCCCGGGGGTAGGTGGGGCCAAAATGGCCGATCAAAGTTTTACATAGGAATATATAGGAAAAATCTTCTCAAGAACCATTGAGACAGGAAAGATGAAACTCATGTGGAATCATCCTCAGGTAGTGTAGATTCAAGTTTGTTCAAATCATGACCCCGGGGGTAGGGTGGGACCAAATGGCCGATAAAAGTTTTACATAGGAATGTATAGGGAAACCTTTTAAAATCTTCTTTTCAAGTACTTCAAAGCCATGCTTAGTGATATTTATAGGGAATCATCCTCAGGTAGTGTAGATTCAAGTTTGTTCCAATCATGACCCCACTGGGGGTTAAAATTCAAGCCCCCCCCCCCCCCTCAGTAAACTTTCAGTTCTGATCTGATATGTGCTTTTTCCTAGCCAATTGCTCAGGTGAGCGACAACATAGTTGACTTCACTGATTTGTACACTTATATAAGAATGTGTTTTAGTAATCTGATAACAAATTTTCTTTTCATCATGTTACTGTATGTAACATGGTTGCATGCCAATATGTTTGGTAAATCAAACAAGAGGCCCAAGGGCCACATCGCTCACCTGAGCACATGGGCTAGTTAAAGAACACAAATTAGCTCAGTATTGAAAAGTTTACTTGTTGGAGGGTGGGTTGTTGAATTTTTTATTACTTGAGAATGTCACTATATTAACAAAGCATACATGTATAATTTTGCCATACTTGAGAAGAAGAGTTTTAAAGATTTTTCCTATATATTTCTATGTAAAGATTTGATTGCCCATTATGGCCCCACCTTAACCCCAGCGTTCAGGATATGAACAAACTTGAATTAACTAATTGGGAATGTTTTCATATTTATATCACCAATCATAGCTTTGCTGATCTTGAGAAGAAGATTTTTAAAAGACGAAGGAAGCTCTAAACACTGCACACTAAAGGGCTCCACTTACAGGGTAATTTTATGTACCTAGAGTGATCTGCCCTTACAAGTATGATTGAAAAAAAAATTATTTTCAGTCAATTACACGATCTGTATTAGATTTTAATATTTTTAGCATTACATAATACCAACAATAAGTAATTAAGCTCAGTATTTTCATTAATTTTCCCAAGGTAAGTAAACAGCAGTGTTTTTCGTTCACAAATAGTCCAATGCCTTTGAACATTATTCCTGCATAAATCAGGCAGGTACCCTATTTTATAATTGAATAAAACAGTCTCAATCTGCACACCTTGATATGATATATTTTCCTGCAAGTCCAAAACGCAGGTTCTGATAGTGTTTAAAACTTCCTTAATCCTATGTATTCCCATGTAAAACGTTATTAGCCATTGTGGCCCCGCCCTATCCTCGGGGGTCATGATTTGAACAAACTTGAATCTTCACTACCTGAGGATGCTTCCAAATTAGTGTCATCTTTCCTGGTCCAAAGGTTTCGGAAAAGAAGATTTTTAAAGATTTTCCCAATATATGCCTATGTAAAACTTTGATCAGTCATTGTACCCCGCCCTACCCCCGGGCGGCCATAATTACAAAAAAGAGGCGGAGAACAAATTGAATTTACACTACTCAATATACGTCATGCAACATTTCTCTAAAATATCATAAAACGAATTTATCTGCTAATTTAACTAGTAAGAAATCATCAAACTGCATAAAAACATTCTACAGCGTGTTGTTTTGTCGTTAGTTAAATTCCACATAACATGTTATAAACAATTCACTGATCGCAATACACTTGTCAATATGACGTCATTTCTTTCAACGTGACGTAGTTTGTATGCAGTGAGAGACAGATCAAATAATATTTTCTCAACAAAATGTGTGTTCTCTAATTAAACAAAATATTATTTAAAGATACTCTATGGGCTAATAACTTGAATAAAATGTCTTCTTCACTAAAATTTAATTGACACTGCCGTATAATTGTATGCAAGTACCTATGTGCAAGGGCATACACTCTATGTATCGAAGTAAGCTTTTACACTTCAACTACAGAACGATTAAGGTATCTGAAAAGTGCTGCGATCCTGATGAAATCTTAAACACAATTTAATTAAAAAATTGCAAAAAATATAATCATACAAGTATAATTTTAACAACCTGCACTTTTTAGAAACTACAATGTGTTAAAAATATTTATATACTAAACTTGGAAATTTAACTTGGTTATGTCCTTGCACTAGTGATATTATATGTTACATCAATACTTCAAGTGAAAATCGCGTGACTGCCGCATCACGTGACTAGTCTAAATATAAAATATAAGATATTTTTATTAATCAAAAAAATCCGATATAAATAATATATTGCAATATTACGAATACATTTTTAAATACAAAATTTATTCGATATTTCCATTGCGCACCTTAACTGTACTGCGGGGTCATAATTTGAACAAACTTGAATTTACACTACCTGAGGATGCTTCCACATGAGTTTCATCTTTTTTGGTCCAATGGTTTTGGAGATTTAAAAAAAAAATTCCTGTATATTTCTATGTAAAACTTTGATCAGCCTTTGTGGTCCCGCCCTACGCCTAGGGTCATAATTTAAAAAAAACTTGAATCTACACAACCTGAGTATGCTTCTATCTGATTTTTATCTTTCCTGACTCAGTGGGTCTGGAGAAGAAGATTTAAAAAAAGAAAATCCTATATATTGCTATGTAAGAATTTGATCAGCCAATGTGCCCCGTCCTACCCCCGGGGTCATGATTTGAACAAACTTGAATTTCTGAGGAGCTTCCAAGAAGTCCAATGTTTTAAAAACAAAAATCCTATGTATTCCTAAGTAAAACTTTCATCTTCCATTGTGGCCCCACCCTATCCCCGGAGGTCATGATTTGCTCAAATTTGAATTAACACTACTTGATCCAGTGGTTCTGGAGAAGAAAAATTTTTAAAGATTTTTCCTATATACCGGTATTGCTATATAAACCCTTGATCAGCCATTGTGGCCCCGCCCTATCCCTGGGGGTCATGAACAAACTTGAATCTACACTACCTGAGGATGATTCTACACGAGTTTCATCTTTCCTGGCCCAATGGTTCTGGAGAAGATTTTTAAAAGATGCCATTATTTTTTTAGTTCATAATTATCTCCCCTTGGAAAAGGGCTTGGCCCTTCATTTGAACGAACTTGAA